AACTTGATTACCAAAATTATAAACCACTTGAACAACAAACTCTCTATGACTTCTCCGATGAAATTATCAGAAGAGGGAGAATGTTGCGTTATTCCTTTATCTTATTTTTTGTTTTTTGCATTTGAACTTTTATTATTTTGTTATAATCTAATTTTATTTTATAAACGGCGTAACCTTACTTTTTTATATATTATTTTACTTTTTTGTATTTCGTTTTATATTCTAATTTATATGTCAGAAAATGTATAAATACCTTAACAAAAGAAAAAGAAATGAGTTAATAAAATATATTTTTACTGACTCGAACCTCGCACCATATCGTCACCAACCTTATTCTTTGCAAATATATACTTCACTAACATATATAATAATAGAACATCTCAAAATTTTCATCAAAATAAAAATAAATTTTTTATTCACACCTCATATAAGATATCCTGACATCCATAATCAAATAAAGGAGAAATGTATTATTCCCCTATATTTGACGGGTTTTAACGTTATTAAAATAGAATACAAATTACTTTTTATATCTAACGACTATAATATAAGAACACTAAAAAAAAATGAAAAATTAGGGTTGCAAAAGTTTCGGTTTAGTCTGGATATCCGACTTGAGACAATAGATCTCCATACAGGACAGCAAAAATGTACTATGACCGAGGTATGAGGCAAAAAATTTCGTCCATTCCGATTATATTTACACTGAAACTCTGTGACTCATTACGAATTAACTACTCGCATTTGAACATAAGAGCTCCCGTTAGTCGACATTGATGTTCACTCCCCAATGTGTGAAAGTGGGAGATAGATTTTGAGCAAAAAGAGAGAAAAAGAAGGAAGAAATAAAAAAAAATAAAAAGATATGAAAGAAGAATTCTAAAAAAATATAATAAGCTTTTATTTAACCACATCGGTCTCCTAATGTCAACATCAGTATTTATAAAAATTTTACCTTTATTATGCCGGGAATATTTTTATAGTATTTTATTTATTCCTTCTTCTAGCAATGTTAAGGGGAATGAAGCAATTAGACATAGCTCATGGTGATGTAGCAATTTCATAATATCTAAGAAACATTGCCTTTATTCGCTGAATAAAAAATCTTTTCGCCTACATTCTTTACTTTTTTATTTGTAATTTATTATCTAGAAAGTTTATTATTTTTAGATGAGAGCTTTGCATACGTTATTATCGAACGCATACTTAGTCGATCGGAAAAAATAAAAAAGTAAAGAGCGATATAATATATTTTATATCGGGAAAATGAAATGAAAATATTAATTTATATAAAATAAAATTAAAGAGTGACGATGCGAAATGATACATGTCTTCCAAAATGACTAAATATATCAGAGACCTACACAGGTATCATTTGCATGACTCGACCCCGATTTTATATTTTCAGGCCCGGTCCGGCTACATTTAACAAAATTAAAATCAGGCCCGTGTCCTGGCTACGATTAAGTGCTGGGCCTGCAGGTCTCTGAAATCTATTAAACAGATATTGCCCTACAAAACCCTCATCTAGTAAGATTAAATTATTATATATATGTGATAATAAATACATTCTTAGATATTATGTATATTAACATCAGTGGCCTGCAATATCAGGCCCAAGCACTTATATTTAAGAATTTTATTTGGGGCAGGCTGGATAAAAAATGAAGCGGCCAGGCCTTGTTAATTTTTTCTTGTATATATATTTGATAATTAAAATATAGTGTTTTTAATTTATTCACTCCCCAAGATTATAAATAGTCTTTTTTTTATTTTGGTTCAAGAACATAAATTTTTGTTTAAAAAAATTGGGCTAGACCAAACTACTCTAGTAAAAAAAATTGAAACTGGCCCGGGCCCAATAAAAATAGCTGGGCTGGGCATTAACTAAATTCAATCTGGCTGGGCCTTAACTAAATTCTCACTGAGCCGTGCCTGAGAATTTTGTCATTTGCCAATATACCGGTCTAAAAGGGTATGTTTTTTACGCCTGTATTAATTTTATTTTGTGTATATATAATATAGTTGATAACCCATTAAGAATGACGGGAATAAAAAAATCATGAACTATTACAGGAAAATTTTTTTTGAGAACATTCAGTGAATTTTCAAAAATTTGGAGATAAATTCCATTAAATAAGGAGATTGAAAGTATTTCTTTTTTGCATTATCTATATAAAAATAGCTGGTAGTAATTGAGGTATCGTTAATAGCCTGGATATCCTGATCAAACGCATGTCGCTGTAAAACATTTAGATTGGCTAACATTATCATTGCGACATCTGCTTCTATTATTGGGTCATATAAATTAGATTGAGTGATAGGGTCAGGAGATGGAAGATTAAAATCGTTGCAATTGAACCCAGGACAATCTACACAGGTTAGAAGTATGGAGGATATTCCTCTTGTAGCAAAGGGTAAGACATTTTTTTGTTGTCCTCTAAGATAGTGTAGTAGAGTATTATAAATATATGTCGTCTTACCTGATCCACCAGGAGGATCTATATAGAAAAATCTGGTAGTAAATGAGGTATCGGCAATAGCCTGGATAACCTGATCAAAAGCATGTCGCTGTAAAGCATTAACTCCCTACATAAAGATTTTATGAAAAATATACGTTCACCATCGCAAAATATGGTAGTAAAAATTTTTTTTTTCTCAACCACAATATGGGAACTTTGCAAATAGTTTAAAATACCTATTTATCAATATCTTTCCATGCCAGAAAATTAACCTTCCTCACTAATCCTAAGTACTTATTATAAATTAGATTTAACAAATAAATTTAAATTATATTTAGCCAATTAAAAAATAAACATTAATCTCATATTACCACCCCAAAATATGCCAGTATAAAATTTTTATCTCAAACAATATTTTAACTCTGGAAATGTCATACAATACCAATTTATCAATATCTACCTATATTTTTAAATATTCTATATCTTAGAATCTCAAATAAATAAATAAAGTTTGCTTGGTTAATAAAGAAAATAATTAAACATCTGTTTAATTACTGTCTCTTATAATCATGTTTGAGCTTACCTCTGGTTACCAGAAAATAATTTTAAAGTCTCAACTGACCTATACTCAATCTGCATTTCACATGTTGATATTAATAACGAAATGATTACAACAGGACATAATAGTATATCTGCCAAAGGCCCCAGCATATAAGAGACAGTAATTAAACAGATGTTTAATTATTTTCTTTATTAACTAAGCAAACTATTTAATTATTTGAGACAACAGGACTATTAGTACATCTGCCAAAGGCCCCAAAATATAGGATACAGTAATTAAAAAGATGTTTAATTTATATATATATTATTACAGAATAAATCACCACCAGGTTGGCACAAGATTTAAATCATGTTTGATCTTACCTATGGTTATCAGAAAAGAATTTTAAAGTCTCAACTAACCCATACTCAATCTGCATTTCACATGTTGATATTAATAACGAAATGACTACAACAGGACATAATAGTATATCTGCCAAAGCCTCCCCCCCCCAGCATATAAGAGACAGTAATTAAACAGATGTAATTATTTTCTTTATTAACCAAGCAAACTTTATTTATTTATTTGAGATTCTAAGATATAGAATATTTAAAAATGTAGGTAGATATTGATAAATTGGTATTGTATGACATTTCCAGAGTTCAAATATTGTTTGAGATAAAAATTTTATACTGGCATATTTTGGGGTGGTAATATGAGATTAATGTTTATTTTTCAATTGGCTAAATATAATTTAAATTTATTTGTTAAATCTAATTTATAATAAGTACTTAGGATTAGTGAGGAAGGTTAATTTTCTGGCATGGGAAGATATTGTTAAATAGATTTTAAACTATTTGCAAAGTTCCCATATTGTGGTTGAGAAAAAAAAAATTTTTACTACCATATTTTGCGATGGTGAACGTATATTTTTCATAAAATCTTTATGTAGGGAGTTAATGCTTTACAGCGACATGCTTTTGATCAGGTTATCCAGGCTATTGCCGATACCTCAATTACTACTAGATTTTTCTATATAGATCCTCCTGGTGGATCAGGTAAGACGACATATATTTATAATACTCTACTCACTATCTTAGAGGACAACAAAAAAATGTCTTACCCTTTGCTACAAGAGGAATATCCTCCATACTTCTAACCTGTGTAGATTTGTCCTGGGTTCAATTGCAACGATTTTAATCTTCCATCTCCTGACCCTATCACTCAATCTAATTTATATGACCCAATAATAGAAGCAGATGTCGCAATGATAATGTTAGCCAATCTAAATGTTTTACAGCGACATGCGTTTGATCAGGATATCCAGGCTATTAACTATACCTCAATTACTACCAGCTATTTTTATATAGATAATGCAAAAAAGAAATACTTTCAATCTCCTTATTTAATGGAATTTATCTCCAAATTTTTGAAAATTCACTGAATGTTCTCAAAAAAAATTTTCCTGTAATAGTTCATGATTTTTTTATTCCCGTCATCTTAATGGGTTATCAACTAGTAATATTATATATACACAAAATAAAATTAATACAGGCGTAAAAAACATACCCTTTTAGACCGGTATATTGACCGAATCGTATTTAACAGGTCAAATGTACATCCCTGCCTTATGATGATACGAAAACGATCATGTTTTGATCATGGAGATTATATATATTAGATTAGTAAAATCTAAAAAAATTTGTTTTATGTAATAGTGCGTACAAATTGAGCGTTTAATGTCTTTGAAAATTATATTATCGTATTTCTTCAATTTCTAAATATTCCATTTTAAGTTATTTATTTTATATAATATAACAAAATAAAGAATGAAAAAAGCAAACCTTTTTGCGGTTTTTTAATATAGTTGCTAAGGCTAATCGGTAATTTTAACAATTTGCACGATGCTATTTGAAATGAATTATCGTTTGCAACACAGGATTTGAAACGCTCATATTATGCGCACTATAAGTGAATTTAAAAAAAATAAAATTTACGTAAAAATCGAACAAGTTCTGTTGAACGAACGAGGTAGCATTGCTGCAATCTGATCGCAATGAATTTATCGACGAGCTCATAGAGGATGAAGAGCTAAGGGAACAGCCGTCATTGGGCGAATCGACCTTAAGAAAATATATTATATTTTAAAGTTATAACTTGTCTAATTTGACGATTTGTAAGAAAATTTTTTTTAGTCAAAGTTTACAAGTGTCCGTTTTATTTATTGTCACAAAATAGAAATTATTTTGGATTTTTTTAAAAAAATTATAAGTAAATAAATACAATAAAACCGTGTACGCTTTAGTTTAAGGACATCAGCCAGTTCTGTAATAATTTCGCAAAGTGCAAGCCCTTGAAATATAATGCTACATGCACTGATATAAATATCATTGATGAGTTATGGTATGATAACTAACTTTAATGAGCCGGTGTCGGTCATTAATGGTCCAGTAAGTTTTAGACAAATGTTAGGCTGCTTAGTAAGATCAGACAGGTAGTTTATTTTTAAAGCATCCTTGCTTATCCACAATCACATGATATACAAATAAAAAAGAGCCATGAAAACGAAATACAATAGAATTAGAGATAAGCAGATCAATGATTAACTATTTACTTGATAACAAAAAGTCTTTAAAATTGTGCAATTTTTAAAAATGATATTATTTTCATATATTTTAATTTTTCTTCATGTATAAAAAAAATTGTAATTTATTTATAATTTTTATTTAACACAATTATCAGGGTGGCCGTAACCAATAATTTAAACATTTAAAAGGAAGGGCCAATTTTTTCCTTCAGAAAATGGTAAAATAAGAAATATTTAGATTTATATCAGAGAGCATCTCAAAATTTTAGGCCGACCATTTAACCAATTTTAAAGATCGAATCCGAGTATAAAAAATCGCTGCACTTTACAAATTGTTTCAAAGGGAAATTGAAAATTTGAGCAGTAAACGAAGTAAATGATTAAGTGATCCAATATGATTTTACAACTGATTAATTGATTTAAAAAAATAAAAACCTTCTGCACGACCTGGATTAAATTATGTCATGTTATAGCCCGCTTAGAGCAGGGTTATGAGCTAGCATGGCTCTAATATAGGGGTCATCGCATGTGAAATATATCAAAAAGATGAGATTTTCGGAAAAAATGAACGAAACTTAGCATGTAAGTTTGTTGTATATATTTGTAGAATCAAAATTTTAGAGCGCTAGCTTAGATCCAAATATAAACTTCAAAGTCAAATCGCGTAGTCATTTCATTAAATATCGTTTAAAATAAAAATACTTATGATAGTCATAAATTTTATAAATTTCCCGGGTAAGCATTGTTGGGAATGAATTTTTTCAAGTGATGATATTTTCGGTATAATCATAAAAATCGATAGTTTTTTATTTTATTTTATTTAAATTTTTATCTTGAAATAAGCTTAGTAAAAAAATTTAGTATATGTGTATGGGGATTTATTCATGTTTAATTTAGCCAAATTTCACAGCTGTTTTACCTGAGCCCTACATTACGCCTATTTTTATCACGATCCGAGATTCTTAAAAAAATATATTTGTCCAACCAATTGACAAAAAGTTTAAAAAAATATGTCTTCATTAACTATTAAATTTTTTTTTATAATATAGTACTGCAAATTTTATGTAAAAATCTAATCTATTTTTCCCAGTGAAATCTCTATGCAGTGATCCATTCTTTAAAAAGGGCCATAAGTCTACTTCAAAAAATATATAAAAGGTAAGCTTATTTAGATTTTAATTGGAACCTTTTTAATTTAAGGTTCTGGATTTTTACCAATATTTGCTCTGACAACTTAGCTGTGCAATAAAAAAACAGAATTTTTTTTTATAAATCTGTGTTATCATTAATCAGATTTTTATGTAGCAGCTGAATGCATTTTTCAGCTACACCCTATGGAAAAGGTCCATGAGGCGGCCTTGGAGGGACGTTTAAAAGATTAGCAGCATGTTCAAGTCTTCATCGCACCAGTTCTGGACACATTTTAACACTAGTTGATTTAAATCATGTTGCAACAAAACATCGCAGTAATTTTTACATATATAACTAACAAACAATACAATTTAGAAGCTAGGTTAAATTATAAAAAAGATTCAATTTGGCTCAACCATTCCAGGAACTAGGAAGATATATTCATATGCAAAAGATTTTAAAATTAACTTTATCTCAAATGCCAATAATGTGCTTTTTATCTATATTAAAGGATTCGTAGCATGTGTTTATGGTGATTTTTGGTAGTTAGCCACCACAGTACTAAAAAGAATGAAATTACTGAGGAGATATATATATTTTTAGATCTCCACCCTTCTCTTATCCCACAATTGAGAAAAATTTATAGTTGATTAATCAAATAATAACGATAGTAGATCCCATAACAGCAACAGGATGTACCTACAAATTATTGTCTCAAGAATTCTATTAATAAACCCAAAATAGAATAAAAGATAGATATTTTTTTATAATAGTTTGTATATATTTTAGAATATTTATCTTAAAATATAGTGCCCTAATAAACATACCCGGATGGGCTGCTTGATTACACATCGCCCCAGGACAACATATTGGTTATACTCAATGGATATTTTTATTTATATAAATAAAATTAAAAAACTCTGATTAAACAGTTTAATATAAAGGTAATAAACATTTCCAGCTAATATCAACATCCAAAAATCCCTTCTCAGCGTACTTAATTTTTCATTTTACCGGAATAAGAAAACACTTGGAAGTTTTTAATTTTTTTGATCTTTTTCAAAGTAGAATTTTAAGGGCTATAAAATGATTATAATTTGTAACACTTAACATAACTAACATGCTAAGTTTCATTCATTTTTGAGATGGTCATCCGAAACATTGGTTGATTTGTAATGGAATGACCCATAGACTATATATATCATAAATAATAAATAAATTGTTATAAAATACTAATATATTTAATCATTTATATTTTTCCCCATTACAAATTACTTCTAATTGTATAAAACATATTTTAAAAATTATGTTTGGGACTAGGAATTAATCCCAAAATACCCCCCCCCCCTCCGCCCATAGTTTCAGCTATGATAATGTGATAAGTCTAATTATAAATGATAGTTTAAAAGAAATTATTTACGTTAAGATAAGATTGTCCATTATTCGTAATAGCTGCTTGTTTGTTGACTTGTATTATGCTTTGGGATATGTTATCTAAAATCTTTTTTTTTAATTAATGATAGAATAAAATAGATATTTTAAAGCAACCCCTTTAAGAGTATCTTCTGTTTCAGAAATTTTAAATATCTTTTAGACAACTCAAAAAATTAATATGCTACTACTATTACTATATCAAAAAAGAGCTATTGATTACCAAATAAAAAAAATATGTAATTTGGGAGAAATTTATTGAATTATTATTTTTTTAATCATCTTGAAAATGGCTAACTAATATTAATGTCGAAACTTCTATGAGTCGAATATACTATATTATTAAATGGGCAATTATCATGTTTTATTTTCTCAAACCTTAATAGTTTTTAATATATATATACACTATGGAAATTATAAATTAGCTGCTGTTGATAACTAAAATTTCTTATTTTGGAATCGGAATCAAATAAAATAAATATGGTTTCCTTTTTTATTATTTTAAAACAAATAAAGGTAGTAACTGAAATTAAAAGCATTCACAAAAATCATTTCCGGTCTTCATGTTTCACTCAGATCCAACCGTCACTACTAAAAAGTGGTAATAACAATTATAGTCTTCTTTGAGGTTTTTTTCAGCGGCTTAAACAAGAAATTATAATTAGTTTAATGATGATGGTAAGAACATCAATATCCATAGTTCGACGTTATCACATTATAATTTTCAAAAATGGTTATTCCCAGTATTTAGGGTAAAAAATGAAAATTAAAAACTAAATATACTAATTACACCTTATGCATTTTGTCGGGTAAACTGGTCATAAGCGCTAAATATTTAGATAATATATCAACGGAGAAAGTAAGCCTATCGCTTTCCATGTGTTTGAGTTTGTGCTTCGAGGTTGATAAGGCGAACTCTTTGTCCTGGCGAAAATTTTCGGAACTTATGCAGGAATCGTGGTATGAGTGGTCAAATTTTTTGCAATTATCTAAGATTCTAGTCATTTTTTCTTCCAGCTTAAAAGAAAAAAGTTATATTTCTTAGAAATATCAAAAAGTTTTTTTTAAAAAAATGTTATAAAGTAATATTGTCAATTTATCCTCAATTATTTTTATCCCTATTTAAGTAAGCATGAATTTCTGTCAATTGTTTTAAGATATTTTTTGATTACATTATTTGAGCTAAATAAGTACAATCCATTATTTATAGGGCTGTGCCGATCTGCATATTTTTCAATGATTCGGTATACGTTTAAACCCGATTAGAGACCGATATTTTTGGATATTTACCTATGAACCAAATGTAATTTTTTTTAAAAAATCAATTTTCAAATGCAAAAAATTTAATTATACATTCTATTTTAATATTTTTATTTCTACAATTAAGACAAAAATTAAAAAAATATTATTTTGATAGGTATCAAAAAAATATTTGCAATAATGTATGCATTTTATTTTAAAAAATATGTTGGTATGACTATGAAGGTTAAAATAGCTCTATTTAGTGATGTAAAGTAATGTTTTAAAGAAAAGAAACGCTATTCATTAGTTTTTCAAAAGTAACTAGTAACGCGTTTTTTTTGAGTAACAGTAACGCAATACGTTACTTAATTTCTTTTTTAAATATGGGGGAAAAAATATTATACTTTATTTTAATCAATTCAGATCAACCATTCAAAATTCGGTAATGTTAAACAATGTCAAGTAAAAATATAGCAATTTGTTAAACAACGACCATTAGGAGTATAAGTACGACCCAATTTTAATAAAGATGGAATTATGTGGTCGTTTCCGAGCAAATACATTATATTTCATAGAACACTACTACATAGTTAGTTTCAGAAACAAACCCAAATCGTTAACCCAGTTCTGTGCGGTAAATCATATAAGCATTCGCCGATTAGGTAGAAATCTATTTTTTAATATTTATAACCATAAGTGGTAGTGGCGATCCAAACTAAAAAAATAAGCCCTAAAATTCTTCATTTTTAATTTGTTTATTAAACTTTTCTCTTGTTTATCTGATCAGCCCGAAATAAAAATAATTTTATTTAAATATAAAAAAAAATATTGGGGTCTTGTTTCTACAAAAATTTTAAAATATATCAATTTAGTTTACAAAATTGAATTATATATTTAAAATGACCCAATCAGAATTCAAAAAAAAATAAAATCAGACCCAGCCGGGACCGAAAATATTTGCAGATCTCTAGTTTACTGCACTAGTTAAATTTAACATAAATATTATAATACTTTAGATTTTTTTTAAGAGCCTCTAGATTTTTAGCAGTAAACTTATATAATGTGGACTAGAGGTCTGCATTGGACGGGTTTAAATTTTTTTAAGAACGGTCAGTCGGGCGGGCGGGTTAAAAAAAAATTTTAACAATGGGCGGGTGGGTTAAGAAATTTAAACAATGGGCGGACGGTCGGGTTAAAAAAATTTAAAATGTTTATTTTAATTAATAAAAAATTGTTCTTACGAACTTAAAAAATAAAAAGCCTTTTTCTGGTATAACTTTTTATAAAATAAATCAACTTTTTTCTTCAATTAATAAAACTTTTTCTACAAAATAAAACAAACTTTTTTCTATAAACAAATTAAAATCTCCTTTTATGGTAATAAAATAAAACTTTTTTCTTAAAATAAATAATTTTTTAGATTAGAAAATTAAAATTTCCTTTTTTTGGAATAATGAAATTACTCCATTGTATTATTTTATTTTAGTAATGATTGTTTATCTTTATATTGCCCTCTATATTTTCTTATATAATATATAAATTTTATTTTTTATAACATACTTTTAACAAAATAATATTTTTTAATTTAATTTTAAAATTATATTATGAATAAAGAATATATAGCTAAGAAAATAAAAAATAATTTTTATAAGATAAATAACAATGAAGATAATAATAATAAACTTAAATCGTCAATGTGTAAACAATTTAAAATTATTTTTGATGAAAATGAGAAAAAGCTAGATTGGATTCGCTGGTGGCACCTCCTTCTTCCTTCGGCATCAATGTTCATCTGCAAATTATGAAGATTTGATAGATTATAAAAAATAACTGGATATTTAGAAAAAGACAATTCTCAATTAAACAAAACGATAAAATCTGGTCTAATAGCGAATTTTGTAGAATATTGCGCTAGAGACATTAGGTATTTTAATTTAATAAATTATTCTTTTATCTTTTTTAGGCCATTTCAAGCAGTTCAAGGACCAGGATTTATAAATATTTTACAAAGATTTTCCGACTTAGGGGCAACATATGGTAAATTGGATGTTAATAAGATCATCCCTTGTGCTACAACAGTTAGCCGCAACGTATCCAAAGTTACTGAGGATCTTAAGGAAATATTATTTCCTAAAATTGTAAAAATGATAAAAAATTCCATTTGCTCATGCACTACTGATATGTGGTGTGAAGAATTTACCAAAACCGATTACATATCTCTATCAATCCATTATATATAAAATTGGAAATTAGAAAATTTATTTCAAAATTTCAAGATGAAAAAAAGATGGGAGAAAATATTCTTAAAGAATTATTAAAAAAATTTTTAAAAATTGGTGTTCCCCGAGAATATTTTTCTAAGCTCATCTTGTTACAGGTCAAGGAGCAAATATTATAAAAGCTTTGGAAGGGTAAATATTTTAGTAAATAAAATTTAATTATTAGGTAGATATTATAATAATTTAGGAGAGATTTTGTTTACACCTAAAGAAAAAACATTCATATTTAAAGAACTATATTTTCCTTTTATTTTTTCAAATATTAGGTTTAATGTGTTCAGCATTATCTTCCAGTCAACTTTTATTTTAGAAAATGCTCCCGAGATTAATAATATTTTGGTAACTGCAAAATCATTGACGACTTATTTCAAACAAAGTGACAACTTAAAATATTTAAGCAAGATGTTACTACAAAATATTGATATAAGATGGAATACAAAGCATAATATGCTACAAAGCATTTATATAATGTATGATGAGATTTTTTTATTCTTACAATCTTGTGATATGACTGAAAAATGGGATCTATGGGAAAGGAAGATTTAAAAACACTGATAGATTATTTGGAACCATATAAAGATGCAACTAATGCTCTTGAGGGTGTTTGCAGGTCTACACTACAGAACGTTCTTATATGGTATTAAAATTAATATTTTGGGATTTATGCCTATTTTTTCTTTATTTATAAAAAAATTAGGTACAATCTTCTACATGAGCATAATGAAATAAATATGGATATAATGGAGAGAAAAACAAAATGCGAAAAAGATATAATAAAGAAAAGAGCTAAAGATTTTATAATTGAAAAATTAAAAATTCATATGCTCCATAATGTTTCAACATTTTTAATACCAAAGTTCCGACAAATGAGGATGTTGTCGTCGGAAGAAATTAATGAAGTAAAAAAACATATTAAAAACCTGTTAGATTTGATTTGCATAGAAGAATGTAACATCGACGTAGATGAAAATTTGATTTTACCCATTTCCCAAAAGCAAAGAGAATCCAATTAAAAGGTATTAATAAATTATAAATTCGTTTAGCTACTTATTAAATGTAATATTTGAAATAAATAGCATCCACATCAAAATTAAACCCCAACAGATGGGAGGATGAGGTTACTGAGGTTAGTACCGTACATAATGACATAACAAAATATTTAAATCTTAAAGTAACCATTTTTGATAAGTATAATTTAGCATAATTTTAAGATGCATATATTACAATTAATATAAATTTAAATTACTTTTATAAATTTATTATTATTGGTACACTTTTATTTAAAGATTTCAATTGAGGAAGAGGATATACTTCAAAAGGATGTCCTACTTTGGTGGAAACGACTAGAAAAAGATTTGCCAAAACTATCAAGATTAGCAAGAAAAATATTAGCAATTCCTGCAACTAGTGCTACTTCTGAAAGAGGATTTAGCATTGCCGGAAGGTTTTTAGAACAAAGAAAACGTGTTTGAATCCCGAAAATGTGGATTCATTATTATTTTTGCATTATAATTATTTATAATATTTATTTTATATTTATATTTTATAAATATTTTATTTGATAAAATAAATTTTCCATAATTTAATTGAATATTTTTTAAGCTTAATATAGTAATTTCCTAAATTATAAAACTTATAGAGATGAAATGTTGAAACTATTTTCAATAGATTCTTAAAAAATCGGGCTAGGGTAAAATTTTTTTATAAATAATGGTCGGGCGGGTATAAAATTTCTGACTAATGGGCGGGCGGGCAAGAGATTTTAGAATAATGGGGGAGAGGGGGGGGGCGGGCAAAAATTTTTAGATTAATGGGCGGGGGGGGGGGTATATTTTTTTTTGAAAATTATGGGCGGGCTGGGCGGGTTAAAAATTTTTTAAACATTGAGTGGGCGGGCATATTATCCAAAAACCCGCCCAATGCAGACCTCTAATGTGGACTATCAATATCTCCTGCCATATTGAAGACAGATTCAGTTGAGACACTGTTTCGGGAAGCCCAAAAAATTTACTTGAATGTTTTGTGGGTACTTTCCAACAAGTAAATCCACAGGGTATATAATATCAATATAATGGTTATTAGTTATCTAAATAAACAGATATAAAATTAGCATTGTTAAAATACAGGGTTTAATATGAACCTAAGGCCAACCCTTTGTTAGGTTCTAAAAAATAATCAGATATCATTCAACAAATGAGTGGACCAAAATCCAACCTAACCAAGCAAGACAAGATAAAATATTAAAAAGATACAAAGCTCTTAAGTATTCCTTGATTTTTCCCATAGCAGATGGTCTAAACTAGAGGTCTGCATTGGGCGGGTTTATGGATAATATGCCAGCCCACTCAATTTAAAAAAATTTTTTAACCTGCCCGCGCATAGTTTTCAAAAAAAATATACCCGCCCGCCCGCCTATTAATCTAAAAAATTTTACCCGCCCGCCCATTAGTCTAAAATTTTTTGCCCGCCCTCCCATTAGTCAGAAATTTTTTACCC